TTTTTTGCGGCAGGGGGACTCGCAGGCAACCAGCCAAGGCAGTTCAAGGTTCCAGTTCGGGAACCTTGGGACAGGGTGGCCAGACCACCTGGGGCGCCGCCGATCTCCGCGGCCCTGGGAAGTGCAGGGAGGGGTGGCCGGGCCTCCCGGGGCACCGCGGATCTCCGCGCCCCCGGGAAGCCCCACCCGCTGGGCTCCTTACTCCCGGAGCAGCACTTTGGAGAGCTCCGGCCCCATCCGACCCCTGGTTGTAACTCACTTTGAGTCACTGTTGGGAAGAAAGGTGGGATATAAAAGAAGCAACATAAATAAAATTAAAAATATCTGGGAAGAGCAGCAGTAGTAACAGAGAAGGCTTGGGGAGAGATCTAGAATAGATATAGAATGAAGGCAAACATTTTAATAATCTGCTCCCCATTTCCAGTGCATCAGCCATGTGGGAATGCCATGGCTCCAGCATGGACAAGGGGTTTCTTCTCTCCCAAAACCAGACTCTACAATTCTTTCAGTTCTGCAAGTTGCTTCAGTGATGATGGATTTGAAACTGGCGGAATAAGAGTCTAAATAAAATAAGTAAAAAGACTGCTATGAACTCCACTCACTTTAGAACTGTATGTGCTCTTGTGTGTTTGTGAAATGACCATAGCAGGTATTTTTATTGCTCACAGTTCCTTGGATCGTATATATGGTGCATTAGAGTAAGTGCTAGATAATAAAGATAGTATCTGTGCCAAACTAGCTGTGATGCTGAAGATCGTAATTGCAGATCTTCTGTATCAGATCTGGTTGAGTCTACAGTAATTATTGTATTCATTCCAGGCAGGTTCATTTTAAGTGGATGACCATTCAGAATGTAGGAACTGAAAAACAATTTTGTATTAGTGATAGTTTGATACAGGCTTTGAATCAGGTGAGTCTTTGGCTGCAGATTGCTTCTTCCATATTATTGTCTCATAGTCTTTGTAATTGCTCTGAAATAAGTAGATTACAAATTCTTTGCATTTTGGGATGATGGTCCAATAATAAACATCGATGCTTGCTTGCCTGAGAGTTTACTACGTAGTGTAGCAACTGTCCAGTGTGGATCTAATGATCCTACTTTGGTTTGGAATGAACTACATATACTGTCAAATTAACCATGATTACTGTTCAAATACTTTGTTGGCCCTACTGAACCACATTACAAAGAAACAGGCCCTTGCCATAGGCTTCACCTTCTAAAGCTGTTTATTTGAATTTCCTTGGTTAGTTCATGGTAGAGATGCATCTGGAGCTGGTATGCTCAAATTAGCCGAATGTGTACTCTGTTTTCTTTTGTCATGTGTGCACAAGTCCTTGTGTTTTCACTAATGTCAATTGTTTGCAGTTGTTATACATCTACACAGAGGAGTCTGTGTTGGCCTCTGTCATGAGGTAGCTATCTGCATATACCTTTCCTTTCCCCTCAACGTTAAAGATATCTGGAAAAAAATTACTGAACAAGGTTAATTAAGATTAAATAGTAATCATTTGTCCAAATATTAATAGACTACAGTAGCCAAAAATCATTGAAATTAGTTAGTTCTGAGAGTGCTTTATGTGGTGCTAAAGTGCAGCCCTTTATGATTTGGGGATCCAAGATCAAGAATAAAAGTACTCAAAATGAGAGGTGTTATGTGGGAAAACATGGGGGTAAGAAGGTTGAAGCAGCTAGGGGAGTTCGAATTTTATTCAGAATCTGTGAAAATATGAATGATCTGTCATAAAACTCTTACAAAAATATTCCTCAGTTAGAAACCTGCAATCAGTGTAAACTCCAAAGCATCCATTGCCAATCAGTGGACAGCTGGAAATTATTTATTCTTGTTACCCCATTTCTCCCTTGTGGGTGTGCGCTCTCACACACATATGTATCTCTTTGCCTGCCTCTTTTACCTATCCTGATAGCAGAGGCTGTTCTCTAACAGTATGCTGTGCACCCAGTGATGATAAATGATTGCATGGAGATCTTGTGCAATTTCCCCTCTCTCCTAAGAGAGAGAAACTGCATGAGATGGGCCTCTACATGATTCACTATCATTTTGAAGGGGAGCTTGGGCAGAGGATGGAGGGCAGCCATCATTCTTCAGTCCATAAAGTGGGCTTTATGCTCTTGCATGCTTTCATCCTTCTCTCCGACACATGAGCTGTTCATGAGAAGCCTGTAATACCACAAAAGAGTCATGAGCCCAGCGGACTTTATAGATTGCCTTATCTTGATAGAACATCTTAATACAGGCTCTTCTTTCCCATTCTTGCATTAAATCTACCAATTATTCACAGTTATTTAAGTGATTTATTAGAGAAGAGAAACTAATGCTAAAGAGAAGTAGTAGTAAAAGGAAATGATTCTTTAAAGTTTAAAAAAATCAGCATGTTTGATCAGATATTTATTAGGAACAGTTTGTTGTGCAAGAGCTCTGAAACAATACGTGATGATTTTTGTACTTAATTTTTCCATGGGTGTTTCTGAACCCTTGCCTGGAATTCCAGATGTTCTTCAGAGAGGAAGAACTTCACCTGTTAGTCATCTGCATACTGAAAGTGTGCTGCATGTTGGGGAGGGACATGTAGAAGGCCCCAGGTTCAATCCGCAGCATCTTTAATTTAAAGAATCAGGTGCTAGGTGATGTGAAGGACCCTCTATCAGAGACCATGGAGCACTGCTGCCAGACCGAGTAGACAGTACTGATCTTGATGAACCATTGGTCTGATTCAGTATAAGACAGCTCCAGTGTTCATTTTTGTCGACAAAACCTGTGTTTCGTATAGCTTGGAAAGAATTCTTATGTTTCAGATCGGTCAATACATCTTGAGTTATGACTTTTATGCTAATATGAACAAAAATGGCAGAGAGGTAATAAAAATTATTTCTTCCAGTACACAAGAGGCACTGTAAAGGATTTCCCAGGCTTTAATGCTAGAGAAGATGCGGAGACCCTTCGTAAAGCCATGAAAGGCTTGGGTAAGAGCTAGCATAGTCTGGTGTGTCTTATCTTTTATCTTTTGACTTGGCATCTATTTACTGATGTTTACATGATGGTTAAGATAATGTGGCTATTCAGTGACTAAAGTAAAATGGTAACTATTTTTTGTAGAAGAGTTCCATTGTACTCTGAAGAGTTATATAGGAACAATTGAATCTTGTTTCAAAGGATGGAGTAATAGTTACTGTTTTGCTGGAACTCATGAAATATTATTGATCCTCCCCTGCCCTGAGTTAACCATTAGAGCAGGGCAAAATGGAAAGTATGTTTCATGGAAAATCTTTGCAGAATACCCTTCCACCATTTTGTTAGTGATTTGGGGGAGCTTAGGAAGGGAATGAAAATGTCCTCATCTGAGGAAACCCGCTCCTCATTTTAATTTGGCTTCATGGCCTCATCTTATAGGCAAGTGTAGTTCTTTAACAATATAATGTCATTGGACTGCCTGTGTGATTTTTGATTAACTGGGATCACCCCCAAGAGGAATGCCTCCATTGTAAAAGATACTGAAGTATAGATTGGGAACAGAACCAGCTGTGAAGCTACTGTGCATGAAAAGTGGAACATTTCATCCTGTCATGCTTTTCCTGCAAAAAATTTCATGAGCAAAACTTCAGCAAAACTTTATTAAAAAGCAAACAAAACCAAAGTAGGTACCAACGTTCCTGCAAAAAATTTCATGAGCAAAACTTTATTAAAAAGCAAACAAAAACAAAGTAGGTTCCAACAATAGGCTATGAGTTGGGATACGGTCTAAAATTTCTGTGTGGGGAAGTGCAACTTCTCCCCCTACCCCTTCTGCTGAAGCCTGAAATGTCACTGAAATGCTGTGGGGGGGGGAGCAGACCACCTGGATGATCAGCTTGATGGGACAAGTTGGAGGGCTTCCGTGGGATGGAGGAATTGGTAAAAATCACCCCTCCCCCTTGTGTATGCAGATCTTTTCCAAAGGTATCTATCCCTTTGACTGCAGATCATATTGTTGGGTAGAGAAACATTCATACAGTGTTCTCTCAACTGCCTGTTTTTCAGTTTTTCCATCTAAAATACCAGTTTATAATAAGAGTAACTGTGTTTTGCTTCATTCAAGGGACTGATGAACAGCCCATCCTGAACGTCCTAACAACCAGAAGCAATGCCCAGCGTCAGGAAATTGCAGTTGCTTTTAAAACTCTCTATGGCAGGGTAATGACCTTTCTTTTGGCTATAAGTTGGCAAGTGTGTATTTGTGTGTATGCATGCTCAGATACTTGCTCAGCCGCATAAGATAATACATTTTATATTGGGTAATAATTTGCATCTTGTCAGTTTCAGATTCTCTATTCCTCTGTATGCTTCCATGTGTATGCTTTTCTTCACTTTCTTGGTGTGCTAGTTTGTATGATTGAAGGATTAATTTAGAATTGCTTTCTTAACGAGGCGCTCTTCATTCTGTCAATTAGGATCTGGTTGATGACCTGAAATCAGAACTGACAGGCAAACTTGAGACTCTGATGGTCAGTTTGATGAGACCAGCACGGCTTTATGATGCTCACGCACTGAAGCATGCTGTTAAGGTAAAATGAATGGCACAAAAGGAAAATGTAAATGGAGTTTTGGTTTTTCTAGGAAAGCTTCTCCTCCTTTCGTTGTCAGGTTTCCTATTATGCTGATTACTGTGCTTGATTATTTATGATGATTGATTTCATTTTAATAGCGTCATTTATATTCTTATCCACCTGAATAATTTCTGAGCGGCTGTAGTGATCAGGTTTTCAATAGTCTTTTGTCTGCTCAACAAAGTACATCCAATGGCTGGCCAGCACTTCACATGCAATAAGCCGAGTGTTCCATACTTGATTTTCTGGATTACAATGCACCTTTCATTTTAAATGTTGCTCTCTGTTAAATTTATGATGAGGCCAGTGAAAGTTATGGAAGTTCTTAATGGCTGTTGATGGCTCTGATTTGTGCTTCAGTACGTTCTGTATGAATATTTTCCTGGGAAGGGAACTAGCTAAGAAGGTAATGCAGTTTAACTTATCTAGAATACAGTTGGCAGTGAGTTTTCTCTTGGCATAATTTGCCACTGTCTTTAAAATTAAGCACATGGCTTAAGATGGGTTGAATAAAAGGTGAATCTCCTGAATGTTCTGTAGAAACATTTGACTCATCTAACCATGTTGAATTTGTCTCCTGCTTAGTAAGTCGGCACTCACAAGCCTTCCCCCAGGCCTCTTTAACTTGCTGTTATTTAGCATCAGTTCCAGTGATCTAACCAGTCTTAAGCAGAGTATTCTAGCCAAATATTAACTTTTCAACTTGGCATTTGTAAGAGGAATGGGGTTTAACTTCACTGAAGTGACTTAGAAAACTGAAAGTCCATGTTGATTCAGGAGATGAAAATCAATTAACTAGCAGACAGGAATGATTGCTTTGGTGAGTTTTTCCCCCCTTCTGTATTCCTTTTTGTCCACAGGTATTTTAAATATAATTCTACATTAATAGTTGTGTGTGTCATTTTATGACTAAAGGACCTGTTAAAACAACTAAATTGGCACATACAGTAAGTAAATAGCTGTACAGTTTGAAGCCTTGTAACAGTAATGGAACCCACCTGCCTTATCACTCTCTCATTGTTTATTTTCTTGCCTCAAGGAGCTGCGGTGGCTCAAGTGGTTAAGACACTGAACTGCAGGCTGTGGAAGGTCAGTAGTTCAGCAGTTCGAGACCCGGGTGCCGCATGATGGAGTGAGCTCCCATCTCTAGTTCCAGCTCCTGCCAACCTAGCAGTTCGAAAGCAAGAAATTGCAAGTAGATAAATAGGTACCACTTCGGTGGGAAGGTAACAGCGTTCCGTGCGCCTTGGTGTTTAGTCATGCTGGCCACATAACCACGGAAACGTCTTCGGACAGCGCTGGCTCTTCGGCTTTGAAACGGAGATGAGCACCGCAACGCAACCCTAGAGTTGGATTCGACTGGCTTTCGAGCAAGGGAACCTTTACCTTTTACAAGGATAGAACTGTGTATTTGGCAACAGGCCCAGTCAGGAAACCCATTGGATACGTCTTTTTTTCTAGCCCTAAATGTTGAAGAACTCTGTCAGTTACAATTACATTTTTTCAAAAGCAGCCTCGGAATCCTTTGCATGCATTTTAATTTGTTCTTTGCATTTACTGGACAACTATTAGTCGTCAGACAAGCCTTTGGCACCCTTCTTGAAGGCCTTTAAATTGTCCTTTTACTTGAGTGTCGCAAGCTTTGCTGGATGAGTGAGTTTTATATAGGAAGGGATAGATGCTAGGTTCAAACTCATTACTTTTCTGTATGTGTTGGAAGAAATGCTATGAGCTCAATCTCTCCTCTGTACTCCAGTCCATTTTATATGGATTTTCCACATTTGGCAAGGCACTAGAGAATGATGGCCAAGCCATACTTCTTGAACTAAATCCAGCCAGTCTGCAAGCCTGTTACAAGAATGGAATTTCTTTTAGCTTTGCTAGAAGGACTGTGTTTTCACAGTCCTTATTTCAGCTGTTAACTCTCTGCCATGGGCTTCCTGTCTGAGTCAGTGCAAATGCTATTTATGGTGTTATACGTTATAATCATGTGGCATTCAGAAAGGAGAATGGAGAGGTTTGAGGATAATCACTTATTATCCAAATGTAGTGAACTAATGTAAGCTTTTTATATTTGAAGATAAATGCCCTCCATCCAAGAACTTACCCCAGTATTTCAATTATTATGACTGTCCATGTAGAGAAGCCCAGGTACACACTAGTAGCTGGCAGAAAAGAGGGGATTTTAAGAAATGAGCCCTTAAGCTCCCAGCACAGAGTGTTTAAAACTTATGGTTAGGGAAATGATTTACTACCTCACACCCTGCTGTCAGGTCACGCTCAAGGGGGACAGTGTGCTAAGAGCCACGAGGCTAGAAAGTAAACTACTTTGGGGAGCAGGAAGAGCCAGCAACCTCCTCATGCAGATTATAAATTCTCATAACATGAGGAAGAGCTGCTCTTGTTTGCTCTCACTCTGATTCTTCTGTTTTGGGCAGCTCTATGAATGGGCACGAACCATGATGGGCTAAACTTTTATGTAGGGCTCCATCTTGTCTGCACATCAGAAAAAATGGAGAGAAGACCCATCTCAAGTAATGATGCAACATCTGCAATGTCAAGTTAAGCTAGCTTGTACTAATTAAATATCGTTTGGGATGTACCTAGTGTAGGGATAGAGGACTGTGTGTTTTCACTTTTTCTTTGCTCCCTTGCTCAGCCCAATAGCTTGAACAGTACATGTGCATTCTGTGATTCATTTATTAAAACCACCACACTTAGTTGGTCTTATTATCTGAAGTATGATAATGGGGAGGGGCAGTGGGTCAGCTTACCATCCCTGGTGCATGATAGCTGAATGTGCAGAGTTGCAGTAGATCACCTGACACTTGCCTGTAGGGATATAGTGGGAGGCACAGCATCTAAAGGTAAAGGTAAAGGTTCCCTTGCTCGAAAGCCAGTCGAATCCGACTCTAGGGTTGCGGTGCTCATCTCCGTTTCAAAGCCGAAGAGCCAGCGCTGTCCGAAGATGTTTCCGTGGTCATGTGGCCGGCATGACTAAACACCAAGGTGCACGGAACGCCGTTACCTTCCCACCGAAGTGGTACCTATTTATCTACTTGCAAGTTCGTGCTTTCGAACTGCTAGGTTGGCAGGAGCTAGAACTAGAGATGGGAGCTCACTCCGTCATGCGGCACACTCAGGTCTCGAACTGCTGAACTACTGACCTTCCACAGCCTGCAGTTCAGCGTCTTATCACTTGAGCCACCGCAGCTCCGGCACAGCATCTAGGTGGAGCCTATAAGTGACAATGCAGGTACGGAGTGCTAGTTGTATGACTGTGCTTAGTAGGAGTTACTCTCAGAGTCATCGGTGGCAATGGGTACCCAGTTAGTTTTTGGCACCCCTAGGGAGGAAGGGGAAGGGAAATAATTGCCAAGGGGAGATGTGGGTTGGCTGCAGAGATTTTGCAGCCTCTAAGGGGCCAATCAGAACAAACAGGAGGGGCCTCATGGGCCATTTATTAATACTTGAAATATTTTAGGAATAAAGTAGAAAGAAGTGATATTGGAAAGTTCAAAAGTGGCTGTAGAATACAATCTACCTTTTTATTCATCTGTGGCATTAAAGAAATATATACGAAAACAGTTTTTTAAACTTTCCATTAATTCTTACATTACAGGGAGCAGGAACCAATGAAAAAGTCCTTAATGAAATTCTTGCATCCAGAACACCTGAAGAAATCAAGATGATAAATCAAGTTTATCAGGAAGGTAAAATGTAGTAGGTGTTTAGTATTTTGAAAGACTTCCTTGAGGGTATGATTTTCAGATTGGGGAGAGAGTAAGGGAAGTGAAAAATGATCATAGGCCCCGGTCACACGGGCAGGAAAATGCGGAGGGGGGGAGCGTGGCTGTTTGCCCCGGAGCAAAATAACGCGCGGCTGCGCGATCAGACATCCCGTCGAGTTCCCGTGGTTAGGGGGGAGGTGCCAATCACAGGACAATCCTGCAGCGTGGCAAAGAAGCGGCCTCCCTAGCAAAAGGCTCCA